CTGCAACTGCATGAGGTTGGGAGTGACCCCCTGCGTTCATGGCCTAGAACGGTACACACACACACACACACACACCCGCGCGCACACACACACACACACACGCGCACACACACACACACACACACACTCAATTTGCTAAAGCCTCTCCCTGTTCTAAAGCCTAGACCCGCCCAAACCCATAAGCTACAACTCCTTAAAGCTTTTTTCCTAAACCCTAAACCCCAACCCAAAACATCTTCAACCCCAATTTACCTCTGTAAGCTGGCCTCCTGCGGAACATTTGAAGATCCTAAGTCAGTCGGAAAAATCAAGACCGCGAAGACCAACCTTGATGTTTAGGGTTTAGGGATTAGGGTTTAGGGTAGTAGGATTATTAATATATTTTTTTTGTCGGGCCTTGTTCCTTAGAATTAGGGTTTAGGATTTAGGGATTAGAGTTTAGGATTTAGGGTTTAGGGGCTGGTAGAGGGTTCAATTAGGGTTAATCCCTGTTGGAATATTCCCCCCGCTTCTCAATGTTACATGTTCCTACTGTGGCATGCTATCTTAATAGCTTATTTTCGGGAGTTGAGTGTTAAGGGGAAGGGATTCATGATTTAGGGCTGGGGGGTTGGTACAGGGTTATAGAGCTGGGTTGAGGATCATGGGGCTTATGTTTAAGACCATCAGCAGATGGCAAGTTTAAACACAAAAACAGACATCGAGGTCTAGAGGAGTGCTCCGAAACAATAAGCCGCGCACAAAAACCTTAATTCTCTGTTTGGGTGCTCCTGGGATCTACCGGCACTTTAGTCGGTGGGCTTGCGGGCATGTGCCAGCTAGGCTGGCATCTTGCAGTGTTGGAGACTTAGGGTTTCGGGTTTATCGCTTTAGGGTCTAGGCCTCAGAATGTAAAGCCTCGAGTTTGTGAGAACCCTAAGTTCAAAACACTCAGCGCGGGGTTTGCATGTGGACGTTGTAGACCTCCATGCGCGGATGGGAAGTCCAGACTCTGTCTCTCTTTTTATGTCTTTCTTTCCAGGGATATCTGTGAAGATCCTCAATCCCAGAAACCTTGGACTTCGCGACACCAGACCAAAGAAATGGGAAACTCTGAGCCTTCCAAACCAGTAGCAATGAGCTGTGCTGGTCTGGAAGTGGACTCTTGTCTGTCAACGGTCGTCCTAAAGCCAGGAGAACAATCCCAAAGCCTTACATCCAACACCCTCATGGCCGTACCTTAGAAGTTGTCTTGCAGAAAAAGATGGAATGTGTGGACCTGCACATAATTGCTTTATTTCCTGGGGTCACTATCAGTGTGCGTGCTATGATCACCCCATCCAAGCTATACTGTGCATCATACCTCGAGATCCGAGAAGCTCAAATGCTTGGATGAAGAACATCGCCATGAATATCCAGCCTCGCCACATGTGCGGAGTCTCAGGCTCTAAGGTCCGGGTTTTCAGGGCGTAGTTTACCTTGTGGCATTGGGACTCAGGGTTGTCTGGCAGCTTGGGAATCTTCTCAAAATTTACAGTCTGTTAGGTTGGCTATGAAAGTCTGTCATCATACTTCTGTGGGAAGTTGGGGGGATCCTACTTGTGCCACGTGTTCATCAGGGTGTGGGCCGAGTCCGGAAAATGCGCGACGCCAGCTTGGAAGACTCCAGACTCGAAGCTGCTAAATCCTACATTTTGGGGAACCCTTTGAAACCGGGGCTATCGTATAAACCCAATACGTCCTAAATTTTCCTAGTGTTTTAACTCACCACTGCGGATTTTCTGACTCCAGTTCTTTGACTCTATCGATGCTGTCCGTTCAAGGTTGGCACTGAGATGATTTGGGGTGCTGTTAAGGAACTTAAACTAAGTTACCGTCATAAGGAAGCCGTGTGATCACAATACTATATACCCAGATTATGGTTATGGTAACTCAGCTTAAGTCAGCTTAAGCTTTAACAACAACCCAATGATTGAGGCTCCACGTTTTGGGGGCTTTGTGGTTCAGAGTCGAATGCTTGGGGCTGTGAGCTGAAGGAGAAGGCTCTTGGACTCCATGTCGCCAGGGAAAGAAACCACAAACATGTCTGAAACTGAGGTAACGGTGAATATATGTCTGATTCCTTGAAAAGTATGCATGGGCATCACATGTTCAAGATCGTTGCTTTACAAGGTTTTTGAGGTGGAAAAACGCTTAGGTCAAATCAAAAGAGCTTGCTGAAGTGAGGCTACACCTTGCACTGTAAACCCATGAACTTGTATAGTCCCTATGCAGTCGTTGTCTGATGCCGGTGTAACGCATACAAGGTCCCTTCAAATGTAAGCATCACCTTGGAAACATCCGGGATCCCAAGCAACAGGCGCCCATCCTCAAAGTCCGTTCCTAAATGCATGATACTGCCTCAATTGATCCGTAACCACGGCGATAAACGATAGACACCCAACAGCATCCGCCCTAAAGCTTGAACCTTTGTATAAAAACGAAGCCCTGAACCTAGATCCTAAGATCACCGCTAAACCCTATCTAATTGCAGGCGGGCAGCTCATCATGCTGATAGGAGAAATGGCTTGGCCACCCTCAGGACGCTCTGAGCTGGGAGCGCATGGCGCTTCCGCTTTGGGGCTTTGGGGCAAGAATAACAGGGCTTAGGTTTAGGGTTTCGGGCTTGGTAACATGTAGAGTGTAGTGGCCTGAACAACGCGCATAATAGGTCATCAAATAAGAAAAGAACATTGAACGGAAGCTGAACTCTGTCGAGGCTTAAGGGTTCGGGGCATGGTTTCCTAGAGGATACCTGGCTATGGTGAAGTTCTTTACATGGTTCGGAATGATATTCATCATGAACGTTGATCAGTCCGTAGGCAGCCAAGGAGAATTATCCCTCCCCACACTGCATGCGCCCAGCACTTGCTCTACATGCGACTTTTATGCAGCTACTACTTACAGTGCTGCGAATATTTATTGGGCCTCGGCATTTCGTCCCAAGAGCTTTCTGAACAAAGTAGGGTCCCTTTTCGGGTGCTGCTTTAGAGAGGTTTGTGATATGTTTGGGGTGTGAAAAAGGGACTGCGTTCTTGGGAAACCTGTTGTGTATACATGTATATGTACATAATATATATGTGCATATATATATATATACACACATGCACATACACACAAAGATATGTCCCTACACATTGACCGATTCAACCCTGCATTTCCCGTCTTCTCGCCAGACTATATGTTCCCTGTTTTTCGTCCTAGTCCCTAAGCCCTAAACCCTAAACACCCCCCCCCCNNAAAAACAAAACTCTAAACCCCAAACCCCAAACCCTAAACCCTAAACACTAAACCCTAAACGCTACACCAAAAACCCTAAACCCGAATGAGATTGGTTCTTGCCGGCCTGAGTTGAACGGACTATGCGACTTACCACGCTGTAGAAGATCCTTGGTTTCAGGGGTGTAAGGTTCAGGCTTTGGGTGCCCAGGCTTTAGGGTTTTGGGGCAAAGGGTTTGGGGATTAGGGGTGCAGGATTTGGAGTTTAAGGGTCTAGGATTCGGGGTTTGAGGGGAGTAGGAGTTGGGGCTTAGGGGTGTAGGATTTGGAATTTAAGGGTTCAGGGTTCAGAGTTTAGGACTCAGGGTTGTTTGAGCCCAGGTAGGCATATATTGCTCAACACGCTAATGACTAATGTTTAATATTTGAGCCTAGGTAGGCATACATTGCCCAACACGCTAATGACTAATGTTTAATATGGCAGTACCTATAAGGGACCAAGAAGGAAGATTACCTACTCGTAACTTGGATGTTTCAATAATGGGCGCGTAGGTGTAGGTTTGTTTGAGCGGAACCAAAATATTCTTGAGATAGCCTGCTGCTGTTGCTAATGAGAGAGCTTTGGTTTCCCCCATCACGAAATGAAAGACCCTATGACTATCATGCGGCTTCAAGAGAT